TTGAGCACGGGCGGTGAGCTTTTTTTGCTGAAAAATGTATGCGCGCAAAAGTAAGCGATTGTTTTTCAATGGCTGAGTGCTAATAGGAGAAAGTTGCGAGGGTACTGATACGGTGACACACGCGTGTATCATGGTTACAAACTGTCGGTAGGCACAAAAAGGAAAAAAAAATATTTTCAAAGTAAAAATATTATTAATTTTATGAAACCGCAATAATTTCTCTTCTTTCCACCGTGCCATAATAGGGTTATTGAAGCAAAAAGTTAAAAATGGAACCCGTTAATGTCACGCTATGTACATTGGATACAAACGTCATTCGCCGCATTTGAAAGGAAAAAGGTGTTACTCCGGCAAGGCGCATGGAAACGATAGGACGGGGCAGTGGGGCGAGGTATACAAAAAAAAAGGAAACGTCGAAGAAGCTAGAGGAACGAGTAGAGGAAAAAAAAAGAAGTGATTTTTCCATCTCCTCGGTAGGAAAATGCGATTTGGTACGAAATTTCGATATCAGCAGTCAGCGCCTTGCCTTGCTTCTCTGCTGCTGCTGCTGCTGCTTCATCGTTGGGTCGACGGGCGAAACGAGAGATAGAGCGTGTCAGGCAGGCAGCTAGCATATTCCCGAGCGTTATGAGCCAATGAGTCGGAAAAGCCGATTCTCGCCCCCGCGCCTCGCTCCTCGCCACCGTTGCGTTATGGTTGAACTGCAGCAGCAGCATATCATCGCGATAATACTCGTATGTATTACGGGTACGAGGCGCAGTAGATCGAGTCTTGTCGATACATATGTGGGACGAATGTTTGCGCCGGTGCTTTTTTAAAGTGGTTTCTTCGACACCTTACCGATATGTATGTGTGTATGCGTATCGATCGGACGCATAGAGAGAAGCTGTATATATACCCGATGCATAATGTAACGGGGACTTGGGTGTGGAATGGGTGGAGGCAGGGGTGTGAGAGGTACCGCACATGCATATACATCGACGCCACTGGCAGCAGCAGTTCACGACAGCATTAGCAAAAAAGCCTTATTGCAATTCACGGCTAGGGAATATGACGCCATTCAACGCAAATTTCCACCCTCAGCATCGAGGCAGCAACAGCGCCAGAAACGAGTCGTATTTATATATATATTTCACTTCTTCTTCACAGCTTCCCCGAGTTTCTATGGTATGGTATGGCTATATAGCTAGCTAGCTAGCAGCTATTGGGTGGGTCGAGCCACCGAGCGACTTTTTTTCGCGCTTTTCTCTCTCTCTCTCTCTCTTTCTCTCTTTCTTCCTATCCTCGTTTCTCGGCTTCGCACGCGTATAATGGCATGCTCTTCCGCGACTAATTGTAATGGTGCTTTTATATCATCATCGCCGCGCAGCGCGAAGAGAAGCTCCTGGTGCAAAGCAGCAGCTTCGACTTTTCGTTTACGCTCGTGTACTAACTGCTATGTACCATAGCATATATATAATACGGTATATACCTGTGTCGTCGCCTGTCACTTTAGCCACTCCTCTTTTGCTTTTTTCTCCTCCCTTTTATAATCTTTTTTGTCAGCTCTCTTCAAGTTTTTTTATCGAACTTTCTATATGCCGTAGTACGTAGTTATAGTTGTGGAGCTTTTCGGCCATCGAGTGGCCATGAAGGTTATTACTACTGGGGAATTTTCGGCTTATTAACGAGATTTTTGCCTATGCCCAAATAAGCGAGCTACCGCTATATATGCACTCGCCCACACAAATATCTGGCCGTCGAGCAGAGGCAATAATATCACGCAGTCGAGTTTCGCATGCCGCGCTGCTGCAGTATAGGTGGACGAGTGCAGTTCACAAGCTCGCCTATATTCCGCACAATTAGACACGAAGAGAGCGGAAGAGAGGAAAAGGGACGACTACTATGAGTTTGCATAACGCTTGGGCAATTAAAGATGCCGAGAAAGAAAAAGAGAGCGAGAGAGAAAGAGGACGGGAACGAGAGAGGAGAGAGGAGAGGAGAAAGAGGGGTAGTAGTAGCAGTAGCTTTCGCGAGTGCCAATTAAAAGTTGGCTCACGAGCAAGAAAGTCAATCGGCCATATCGAGGAGAGAGAGAGCCCAGACAGGTCCTGACTATGCCCTTCTTTCTCTTTCTCACTCGCTCTCTAGAGCTAGCTCTTACTCTCTTTTGTCTCTTCTTCCATAGCGTCATCTCTTTCTATATATATTATACTTGCAAGCTCTCTCTCTCTCTCTCTCTCTCTCAATATAAGTATAGCGCGCGACAGCAGCAGATAGATGTTAGCCTCAGTAGAAGGGAGAAGTGAGCGAAGAAGCGCGTTATATGTCATCTATATAGCTCTTCGCGTAGTGCTGAATTTTAGCGATGATCGTCCCCGGGATTGTGTCGCCGCTGCGTGTGTATATAGATAGTGGTAGTAGTAGTACATCCAAGAACAGAAGCTCTCCAAAGATCGAAGGCGATATCAGACGCAGCTCTTTGATTTCGAGTTTATAACCCTCCTTGTCTTCGACGTAGCTTCCTGCGCGGGGGTGGCTTCTTAATTTCCAGATTTGGACATCAATCGCTTTCAAGATAGAGAGAGAGGAAGAGAAAGATGCGGAGAGTTGGAGAAGGAGAAGAGTCGTACATAGATATACAGCACACATACCAACATCGTCATCATCCCCTCGTTGTTTCGTTGCGAAAGATACAGGCAATCGTTTCGTCGGCGCGCGCGTTTCAATCGAAATGTCAAACAAATAAACGCAGCTGCCGTTACTGCCGCTATAACGACTATTTGTTTTTTCATATCCTCTCATATTGTATGTACACAAAATCGCGAAAACTGAATAAAAAAAAATAAATAAAAAAATAACGATGACCGTATACACCCACACACGCGCGCGCTCGCGCGCGATGATGTCGAATAATTCGGCATGATTGCTACTTTTTAACTTCTCTCCTCACACTCCCAATCCAATAGCAGTAGCAGGTCTCATCGAGCGTAAAAGCGAGTTTGCAAAATTATCCCGATCGCCGATATTTTAATACTCTCGATACACACGACGATACGAGGGGGTGGGATACCGGTGGCGGCGTTGGTGCGTCTGCGAGCACGTCGAGCCTCGAGCCTCGACTGCGATCACGGGCGCATATCGTTCATCAATGTCGAAGTTTTAGCCTGATTATCATTATACACAAAGGTGGATATATCTATATATTATAGAGCGCACGCAGTGTGTACGGGGGAGAAGAGGTAATTCGTTTCAGCTTGCGCAAACTTTGCCGAGCGCGACGAAGAATAATTGCATCGATCTTTTACGAGCTGTGCGCGTATAATAATGTATTATTATATATAAAATGTCTGTCTAATACGGTATTTTAATATGATAAATACTATTACGAACAAAAACAGAATGTTGAAATCCCAAGATCGAAGGAATATTTACGGAGAATAATAATTGCTGTACTGTACGCTTGATATCTATATAAGCTATATATAAATAAAGTTTGCCTCGGAATCAATTTCAGTTTACAAGGGCTCGGGCATCTCTCGCTCAACAATCTATGCAGCAGCAGCCGCAGCAGCTGTACAGCGGCAGAAGCAGCTAGTTGCTGCAGCACAGGCACTCGAGAGTCCTCTTTTGCAAGTTTTCGAGCGTAAGCGGGACTTTTCAATATAACTTATATATTTCTTCTCTTCCTTTTAGCAATAGATAGATGTATATACACATCACGAAAACGCGTTAAAAACACGATGCTCTCGACGAACCATACAAACGTACATAATACATAAGGAGCAGCTCCAATCGAGAAGATATTATAAAGAAGAGAGGGAGAAAAAATCGCATCTCATCCGCGTTTTACATGCTATATACGCTGTATCTAGGCTACTTATACCCCAGGAGGATCAATTAGCCTTTCGTAATTTGTTAATGAAATAAACTTGGAGAGTCTAAGCGCTTGGCTTTAATTATTCCGTAATCGATATTATACACAAAACGAAGCGAGCAGCTTAAACGAGCGATTATATATATTACATATCATATACCCATATTGGGTATACGGAAAAGCTCGTGCTTCGCAAAAATACGGGCCTTTTTGTATGCTTCTTCTACGAGGAAACTCAGCTGATAGGCATGAAGATCAGTTTTTGAACCAGGTGTCGTATAACAATTTTATTAACGTATTTTTAAATTAAATTTGATTTTCGATAAATGAGTACGTGTGTCATATATGAAAATCATTATTATCTTAAAAACGGGACGTCAAATTATATTAAAATAAAACTGCATTAATTTGTCAATCGAGATTAGAATGAAGCTTGAAGAGTTTATTTTTTGCTTACAGTGAGACTTTTCCGAAAGTTTTAATTTAAAACCTATCATAGGACAACTCAAACTCAACTCAACAACAGTATATTCAATAAATTTTTTATTAAAATAATTACAAATGCAATATTTGTATTAAATCTTCAATTCAAAGGGTTGAATTTTATTATGTACTGCATTTATGTGCGTTTTGATGTGATGTTTTATTTGTGACAAATTTCACACTCGAAGAGCTCTTCACGTTCATGCACTGCATACAAATGATTTTTGAGATTACCTTTGTATCCAAATGATTTGTGGCAAATATCACATTCGAAGGGTTTTAAGCAATAATGTACCCGCTTTATCTGAATTTTAAGGGTTTCTTTTTGTCCAAATGATTTGTAACAAATCTCACAGGCGAAGGGCTTGTTACGATCATGTACTGCTATTATGTGTTTTTTGAGATCACCCTTGTATCTAAATGATTTATGACAAATGTCACACTTGAAGGGTTTACTACGATCATGTATTGTTGTTGAGTGTTTATTGAGATCACCCTTGTATCCAAATGATTTGTGGCAAATTTCAGATTCAAAGGATTTGACACGATTATGTACTGTATTTATGTGAACATTGAAGTTACCTTTTTGTCCAAATGATTTCTGACAAATGTCACATTCAAAGGGTTTGCTCCGATTATGTACTATATTAATGTGAGTTTGGAGATTTTTTTTTAGTCCAAATGATTTGTGACAAATCTCACATTCGAGGAGTTTAATACGATTATGTACTGTGTTGACGTGACGTTTGAATTGGCTTGGGTAATAAAATGATTCATTACATATCTCAAATGCTCTTGTGCAAGGCATTAATATGTTTTTTTTATTCGCTTCTCCCTTAGGAGTTTTTCGACTAATTTCACACTCATATGATTTTGTTTGATATGTTTTTTTCATTTTCATCTTTTTGGATTCACTATATGTTAATGGTAAATTAGGTGAAAATTGGTAATTTTTTTCTACATCGAATTTCCCTTTTCTCAAAATTATCAGATCTTTAACGTTCAAAGGATGGGACTGAATTTGATTTTCTATTTTCTCAACTGGCGGACTTTGATACTCAGTTTTGCAGATTGTTGTAGACGGAAACGTCAGTTCAGGTTTAACATCTTTGCACTCGAAATCAATACGTATACTTTCATCCATGACATTGGTTTGATTTTCGTATTCCATTTTTACTATAGTTTGAAAATTGTCTCATTCAGATTTGATGACAAGGGTTGATAGAAACGTAGACTCGGTTTTAACATTTTTGCACTCAAAATCAATTGATATTTTTTTATCTAATTTATCTTGTAATGCCATATTCTGATTCATATGGTTTGCCTTAAAGTAAAATTTTTAAATAGTTTTTGATAGTGAAATGACAGAACATCATTTAAATCAAAGGACTCACTAATGATTCATAAAATGGGGATGTTTCAACATTTTTGACTTAGTACGAGTTGATTGGATCGAAAACAAAATCATCGCCTATATCCACCTGGGTATCGTTCGGCACTGGCTTTACACTGGAGAAAAATCAAGTTTATTGAAGCAATCGCTAAAAAAGTATCATAAAATTCAAGAATAAAATAGTTATACCTAACCAAGTCCCCGTTAATTTCCATGACTCACTTTATTATATTATCATGTACTCGCAATGAATTTACACAATTTGCACTGGCAAAATATTCGAGGTCATATGACTCAAACAGCCTAAACCGAACTTCAATTTTAGAATTATGCTCTTTTACTGATATTATTTGTAAACACTTTCTCACTTGTAGGAATTCGACGCTTCGTTAGTGACTGAATTATCTTTGTCCTATATTAGCGAGTCGACCCCGTGTTTGTGATGGCTCCTTGGCGATAAGTCCCCCTCTTCCGTCAACTGGCCATAAACAGTAATATAACTAAAGTGTGTAGCGATAAATACAGGTAGTCGCATGCCATAAAAATCATACCGACGCATGATAATATATGTAGAGACAAATTCACATATTATATTAGGAATTAAATTCAATTAATCATTCGAGTGCATCAGACATTTCAAAAATGTAATTAAATGAATATATTTTACAATTTAAAAAATTCTAATACTCTAATACTCTCAATTTTGAGTTTTAATTATACATAATTTGATATTATGACGATTATTTTATAATTCAGAGCGGCTGGTTTTTTGCCTTGTATTTTTTTTTTTTTTTTGAAAATTGTGTTTATTTGAAGGATAAATTCAAATTTCAATAAAAGCTTATTTTGCACTTCTATTACGACGTAATTACGTCAAACGCACAAAAAAGCAACATTTTTAGAGTTTATCGTTTTCAGGAAAAATCCCGTTGCCAATGCATCAACACCGTGCTTTTTTTTTCAACATCTCGCACGAGACGAGCCCGCAAAAATTCACCAGTAAAAAAATGCCTTACTCGACAGAAAACTTGAACTTGCACGGCATCGTATACACATATAGTATGTTAACCGAAATTCACAAAGAGCTTCATCGTGATTTCGCCGCGTGTATACAAGCGATATTCCACAAAAAAGCTCAGCAATTGTATTACCTAACCATGAGGCGTCAGTGAGTAAAAAAAAAAAAAAAAAAGAGGAGAAGGAGCAGTAAAGAAGAAAGATTCAACTATTGTCTCGCGTTGTATGCGGGTTGTTCTCGCTACATCAGCAGTAAAGTTTCGGTACGTATACGCACGCGTCGTCGTCTGTGACTTCGCAGGTATTTTCCTGCACCGCAGAAGCATCATACACACGCGAGCAAGTTCGGGGGCGCGTGAAATTTCTCACACGTTATAAGCTCGCGTACACACAGAAGAAGGCGAGCGAGCCATACATACATACGTGTATACGCGGAAAGAGCGAAAGTTAGCTTTTTGCCGAGCGAACGAACGAGCGAGCTTGCGCGAGCATGACTCTGCGAAGGAAGCAAAAAAGTATACGTATACATGCGCGGGGCGCGTGCTCACGCTCTCGTACTCTACGCGCTCACAGAAGGTGGCATATGGCGCGCGGCAGCGAGCTCCTTGAAGAAAAGAAAAGAAAAGTGTGCGCGGGCCAGCGTGCAGTATAACACAGCACAAGCAGCAGCGGCAGCGGCAGCCTGTATGCACGATATGTACAGTATAAGTGCCTCGCAACGCACCGAGCGAGAGAGATTTTGCCCGCGCTCACACATGCGAGCTCATGTGTGTATGTGTGCGGGTCTTTATCGGAAAAGTCGGGTGCCAGTCAGCTTGTGCTTGGTGCGCTGTACACTGGAGTAAAAAAAAAGCAAGAGAGAGAAAGAACGCGCGCGCAAAAGCGCCAGCCAGCCAGCCAGGCCAGCAGCCCAACGATTTTTTTTCGCGTGGCAACGCTCCTCTCTCTCTCTCTCTCTCTCTCTCTCTCTTAGGCACATATAGTCGGGAGTCGCGCAGAGAGTTTTTTTGAGCACGACTCTCTCTCTCGCTCAGTTTTATACACACATACAAACGCATACAGAGAGAGGCAGACTACTGCAGGTGGGAGTTATAAGCGTGCGCAGCACAGAACAGCTCCATGCCAGGCTACAGCAGCAGCAGCAGCCACTATAGTAGGTAGGCAGCGCGAGGGCACGCTCCAAAGCAACCCAACGACGAACTGCATTGTGACGAGAGAAAGAGAGAGAGAGAGAAAGAACTGCGCCGCACGCAGCAGCAGTACGGCTATAAGTCTCTCTGGAGCTTGCGACGGCGCGACGCAGCAGCAGCAGTAGCTAAAGCCCAAGGCTAATGTGCGTATAGGTACGCGTGGCGCGGAAAAATATTCCTACGGCAAAATGTTGTACACGGGGCTTAGTAGCAGAGGAGTAAGATATGTCGCGAGCTTGCGAGTCAGTCACGCGCGGCGAATTATTCGGCGAATTTTTGGTGGCTGGAAATAATTTTCTAAAGCGATACTCTAATCCACCTTTCAAAAGAGCGGACGAGTTGATTCTTTGTGTGCGTACTCTCCTCTCGGAAACTGTCGTGTATAGATTCGTTTCCCCCGAGACACGGTCGAAATGTCGAAAGTTTTTGCAAAACGAGCGCGCCGCCTTTATAAATATAGTTTTGAGTCAGAAAAAAACTGTATCTATATTTTATAAACACCATGTGTGTGCTTACGAGTATGTATTACACACACACACATACATTCGAGGCATGTAGACACACACACACACACACACACACACACACACAGATCTGAGTCAAGCGCACTCGTGTGCAAAGCTCGTCTGACCTTTTGTCGAGAGAGCCGAGCGCGCTGCAAGTCTCGCAAAACTCCATGAACGCTGCTGCTGCTGCAGCTGCATGTATATACCGTATATCTATATACAGTAGGCAAGGCAACAGTATGTTGGGGTGGTTGCACTGTACCTACCTACACACCGGTAGGTACTGCACACCGCCGCTGCTGCTGCCGCCGCTATATAGGTATATATACTGCGTATATAGCGAGGGCAAGCCTCTCTCGCGCGCTAGTCATTGTGCCATAGAGAGGTAGCGCATCGCAGCAGCAGCAGCAGCATCAACAGCAGCAGCTCGATATATAGCGTATATAGTTATACGTACATGCACTGGGCGCACACACAGTCTAATGTGCGACATTGAAAGAGAGAGCAAGCGCGCGAGAGAGAGAGAGAGACGGAATATAGAGTCGAGCCGTGGCGCGCACTTGAAAACTTCGGATGTCCCCGCAGCACACGCGCTACTCCTTTCGCTTCTTCTCTTCTCTCTTCTTTTTTTTTTACTTCTTCTTTTTTTTTTACTTCCCTTCGTACAGATTCGGAGCCATAGCAGCCAGACGCAGCAGAAGCAATGAATGCAACGCGTTCGGTGCGCTGCGCACAAATTCTCTCTCCGCAACCTCGACAGCGAGACGACATTTTCACTCTTTTTCTGTCTCCCTTCCTCGCGCAGCAGCAGCTCTCGCTCTTTCTCGCGCGCTCCTTTTTTTTTCTTTCTCTCTCTCTCTCTCTCTCTCTCTCTCTCTTGTTCACCTAGGCTACTGTATATATGGACGCGTACTGCTGTCCGCGTTTGTACATGCATTATGCATATTGCCGTGGCTGCGTTTTACCTTTCCTGCGCTCTTCTCTCTCTATGAATCTTCGTGCAACAGCAGCAATAACAGCGGCAGCAGAAGCTTAACTCGACTCGACGAACGACGATTATTATATATAGCGCAAAATACGTGCCAATGTCGCGCGCTACGAGCTTCTCGCTAGCTGACGGAAGCAGCAGCAGAAGCAGCAATAGACAGCTTTCAAAGACCGCAAGCTCGTATAACGTAATCGTTTTCGCTCGCGAATATCCCATAAGAATGTGCCGTGCAGCAGCGCACTACATAAGGACCTGCAAGCGCGCGCGAGCGAGCGGCAAAAGCAATTTGCTGTAATGAATCGTTTTGCAAGCTATACCATATTATATATATACTGTGAGAGTCAGGACGGATAAGTGGATTGAAAATTACAGCGTGAGCTTTTGAAGCATCAAGGGAGGGGGGATGAGAGGAGGAAGAAGAGGTGGATAAGAGAACATAAGTTACATTCTATTCTCCTCTGCTTTCTCTCTCTCTTTCTTACAATGCCTATTGGGACGACTCGCGTATTTGCAGCGAACGAAAGAGAGAGAGAGAGAGAGAGGAGAGCTTTTAATGAAGTGTCAGAGAACGAGAAAGAGAGTAGGAGAGAGCACGTGAAATTGATAGGGAGGGCTCGTAGAATTTCTCTCTCTTGTACCAAGGCTATTCAAAATTCAAGCGCGGAATGCGTCTCTCACTCCCCGTTACAGCCATGACAGCTGGCACGCATTTATATCTACGTATATACAGAGAGAGAAAAGGTCGAAAGAGAATGAACTTTGCGTTCTCTCGCGCGCGCTTAGGGTGGGGTAGGTACGGCTAATTGGTTACACGCGTCGACTATTTAGCATCGGTTCTGGCTCTCTCTCTCTCTCTCTGTGTAAGCTCTATCGGCGTGAATTCGACAACAAATCGAAGAACGACCATGTGGTGAGCCATTACGCACACATACGCAGACACACATGTGCGCTATGTGCGGATATAACGGCGAGTGCGCGTGCGAAATGAAAGTTTTATGCGCAGCTAGTCTCGACTGGCCGCCGCCGTCGCCGCGACGGGGGGTATGTAGTAGCAGGAGGAGGAGGAGGAAGGGAAAAGGGTAAGGGCGCGCGCGCGCCCGCTATTTGCTCACAGTCGAAGGAATGCAGTGCGGTAGCGTAGTAGCATGTAGGTATAACGGTCCGGCTGTGCAAGCTCGCTCGCTCACTCGGTCTCTCCAGCACCACCACCCACGCATATGCCGCTGCTGCAACGACGCCAAACGTTCTATGGGATAATACACCGGCACGAAAGCGCGCGATGCACCTACCCTGCCGCCCTGAGCCTACTGTTTATTACGATCTCTCTTTCTTTTTTTCGCCGCGTGCGAGTGGTGCAAAAAAAAGAGAGAGAGAGAGAGAGAGAGAGAACTGCCGGCGATATCTCGCGCACGTGCCGCCCAGCCATGGCCATTAGTTATTATTATACCATATACGCGCGGTATACTGGTATATAAGCTCTATATACACACGCACTCGATCTCTCTCTCTATTTTTCCCTCTGCCCCGCCCGCCCCTGCACATTCATACACGTTCAAGTATAGAGTGCACGAGAGTAATATATATACCGGATATGCACCGACTGTATCGTTGTTGTTTTTTTTCCTGCTCTATCTTCTTTTTTTTTTGGTTTTACTTTCAAAGCGGCCTCCTCTCTCGTCGAGTAATGGATAATCCCCCATTGGGGCGCTTGCACGCACACGGAATGCACGTGGTGTTGTGTGCTGCTGTGTATTTGGCGTGCGATCATTGGACTACTTTGGGCTATAGAACGAGTTAACAAGTTTTCCGAAGGGCCGCACGCTTAGCGCTTAGCGCGCGCTAAGGAGGAACAGAAATTTCGATCGCATTCGATTTAGCTTTGCGGACTGCAGTATAAGAGAGGAAACTCGGAGC